TCGAAAAAAACCCAGAAAGATCTGTTCATTATGATTATCCACCTAGACCCACAGCCGATGTACATTTGTGGTGTTATAAAGGTGTAGTCAATAAGATAATAGTTTGATAGTTGTAAAAACTAGATTTTTTCACAAATAGTTGCACGAGCAGCTGATGGATTGCTAAGTGACATTGATGGTTTACTAAAATGACAAAGGAAAAGTTATATAAACTTACAGAACATAGCTATTAGCATAGCTTCAAAGCCCGCTATGCCTACGGCGGCTGTAGCGTCATGACACGCAGTTGATGGTCGCAATGCTTATTATGTCTTGTGGCGCACGCGCAGCGCTGCGTCTTGTTGTTAGATGCTGGGTGGACACATGAATTGGTGGTGTTCAACTATGTACATGTAAAGCGTACTTTTTAACTCTCACGGCAACCATAGCAGCTTTTTGTTGTTGTGTTTCACTCGTGCAAGTAATTTGAAACTATAAAGACTCGCACGATTTCGCAAAATTGTTTTTATTATTACTTTAAAGATTTAAGTTAAATTTTGTAGGGATAACGAAAAAGGTAATCAAAGAAGCAATATTTTCTTGACCGCATTGCGGTAGCTGTTTTTTGCTACTTTATTCAGGTTAAACCAAATATAATGAATTCATTATTTTTGCTTTTGCATAATTGATTTTCTTCTTTATTTAACCAAATTATTTGCGTTTTTATACCCTGAGCAGGGTATATAAAGTTTGCTGCGATGTTTGTAACACCCATATTAACTGAACGGTCGAAATAAAGTGTGTGCATGGAAAACTTTTTCATTTGACGAGGTATCTTCACGAAATTAGGCCCGAGTTTTGTTTAAGGATCCGCAGAAATTGCTCAGATCAGATCACTATAGCATATAGCTGCCATACTAATTGCACGATCGGAATCAAGTTCATGTATTATAGCTTCGGTACAACCGAAATTAACATTTTTTCTTGTTTTATTTGTTATTTGATTTAAATTAATTTTTATTTTTCATTTCTTAGTTAAATTTTCCCATCATCTGTTCTATTAGTTTAGTTTGTAAAGTATTAGGAGTTGTGGCATTAAGGAGGTAGGTAAAGTGGCTGTCTTACGACACACTTAGGCCTTTGGGAAGCCCATAAAGAAAACTGTCGATTCATATAAACCCCTTGCATCCACCTAAATTAAGAGTTTGATGGTGGTTCTTTCGAAATGAAATTGGTGACACCATTACACTACTTATTGTGGGGTTATTTGAAGCCATTGGTCTTTAGCAATAAACCAGACTTTCTTCAATCTTTAGAAGCCAATATTGAACGTGTCATACGATGTCGATTTAATGGAAAAAGTACGCGAAAATTGGGTTCATCAAATTCGTTCCTGCAAAACAAGTCGCGGAGGCAATTTGATTGATGTTATATTCAGAACTTTATTGTATTGATTGTACTTCACAATAAATAAAAACAATTAAATCTTCTTAACAATTAGTGTGTTCGTTTTGGAAAATAAAAATCATGCCACTTTTATTGGAAAACCCTTTATTACATTGCTGCAATCACGGTTGATGTTTTCCTGCGCCCAATGTAACCTTTGTGTTTTTGGAAGTAGGGGTTTGATTACCGCACTGCTGCGTTTGATGTCAGATCTCTGTTCCGTATTGTATTTGGAGATACAATATATCTAATTCCTTTTTAATCAAATTGTTTTAGCTTTTATTAGACTGAGAAGAGGTTTCTTTTCAAAAAAGAGAGCAATAGCATTGCCCTCACTTTTTGATATCACGTGATATCCCTCTTCTTGGCTTGTGATCTACGTTACCAGTTTCTTTATAATGGTCAGACCATTTCTACAATGAGTGCATCTAAACGTGCGGGAATGCGGTTTTATGTGTGTGCGTTTGGCAAATCGTGTGATAAGGCAATTTTGCTATCAACAACGGCGGCTAAATTATATACATAAATATGTGTATATAATTTATATACACTCATTTGTAAATAAAACATCTCAGATAGAAAATCTCAGCAGCAATACCTCTAAGACAGCCGCTGGCACAATTGAAACTTCACTTAAGCATTCCTAAGCACTTAACCAATTTTTTTTAATTTTTGCCGCATTGAAATGTTAATGAATCTCAGTTTCAACAGGCAACTGCAACTTGCGAAACAAATGTACCGTCGCACGACCAAGTGATTGATCTGTCAATTAGAAAAGTGCTGGGTTTTAATATTATGTTAAAGTTATTGTATTGTCGTATTGCCTCTTATCTCTGTAGCTCTCGTTCAAAGCAGAACAATATTGCTATTGTGGACCTTTTAACCTTTTATTGCGTATTTGTGGACATATTTGTGCACACTTTTATAGCATATGGATAATTGTTTCGTGATTGAAATTTCTTGATGTGTTCTGATTATTTAGCAAAATAACCTTCAGTTGTAATTCTATTGGATTGGTGTTGGGCTTTTCATAACAACAAAATGGAACTCTAAATAGTTTTCTCTCTAAAAATTTGTATGATTATTAAATCAGAGATAATACAAGAAAACGGAATAATTGCGAAATGCTAAAATATTGTTACATATTTTAATTCCTCATTACGTAAAAAGCGTATAATTGTAAACAAAAGTTGAGGAGTTTGAGGTCAGCATAAGAATATTTAAGGATATACGTACTTCATAGATATGATTGACAGTGAAACCACCACTGCTCATTCTGTTGAAGGTTGATTGTATCCTGAGGTTCCTTTTTCCAAAATATAATTAATTAGTATATAATATATATATATAAAGAGAAAAAATTTGCAACGAACTGAGATATAAAATTTTACAATCTCTTTCTTCAACGCGTGCATCCCACAAACTACAAGTTTTCATAATAAAAGAAAGAAAAAACGTTAACTTCGGTTGCGGTATTAAGGTCTTTTAACTAATATTTTCGCTTCACAATATTTCACTTTTCGTTTCCATTGCAGAAGAAGAGACACGCTAATGTATCAAATAAATAATAACTTGATCCAAGTAGACGTACTTCTTTCAATAGCCTTTTTATATATCCCACGTGGTTCGGGTCAAGAAAGACTTACGAATGAACAAAGTTTACAACCCGTTTAATTTTATTAGGAAAATTCACGTTCTGTAATGAATGTGTTTTGCGCGCTTCGCTTAACTTATGGTCAACATTATCAGCCTACTGAGCGTACTATTCGCAACACCATCACCGATCTTGAAACCCAGCATATAATATTGGATAATATTCGACCGAATAGACCACGTCCAGCACGCAGTGAAGAACATATAGCGGCCGTAGCCGAACTGAGGTATGGAACGACTTGGTGCATTTTACGTAGAGATCTTAAATTGAAAGCATACAAAATACAGCTTATGCACGAATTGAAGCCGTTCGACTTTCCCAAGCGACATCGCTTCGCTCTTTGGGCTCTTGAAAAGTTCCAAGAAGATCCGACGTTTTGAGCCAAATTCTGTTCAGCGGTGAGGCCCATTTCTGGCTCAATGGGTATGTAAGGCGACAAGCCTTCGGAACGAAGAGCAACCTGAAGAGGTTAAAGAGCTGACATTTCATCCAATATATACAACGGGTTTGTGTGGTTTGTGGGCCTGTGAAATTATCAGCCATATTTCTTCAAAAATGATGCCAGTAATAAACAACTATTTGATGCTTGAAATTGAAGCTCTCGGCGAGATTTGGTTTCAACAAGACGGCGCCACTTCTCACACATCGCATTTGTCAATGGATTTATTGAGAGAACACTTCGGTGAGCCGATAATTTCACGTTTTGGACCGGTCGATTGGCCACCAAGTTCGTGTGATATCACACTGTTAGACTTTTTCCTGTGGGGATATATATAGTCTAAAATTTATGCGGACAATCCCGCTCCGATGGCGCAAAACACCACGCGTGTCATTCGCCAGTTACCGGTCGAAATGCTCGAACAAGTCATCGAAAATTGGGCTCAACAGATGGACAGTTTGAGACGTAGCCGCGGCTAACATTTGAAAGAGGTAAGCTTCAAAAAATAAATGCTAAAGAATGTAATAAACATTTCCCATTAAATCTGAATTTTGTGTGTCTTTTTTTTATAGGAATAAAAAATTTTTTGTGCGACTTAATTACAATTAAGTAACGAAAGTACTCTCGTGTATGTAAATTAAATATAAATACCTTGGATTATTAAAAAGTTTAAACATATAAATAAAATAATATGAACACACCATGTGGAGATGGGCTTGCATAGAGTACGAGTGCATTCGTGATAAATGACACGCTCATATTACAATTTAGCATGGAAAAGAAGAACAGAAGAACGTACACAGTAGATTAAATGTACAAAAAACAGTCCTACTGAAGACGCACACAAATAGCACAAATTCCCTCTTGGTAGTTTTAATTTGGAAATCACTCATATTTGACGTAACATATCATACATTAAAAAGAATTGCTAATCCGGTTTTATACATATACATATGTATATATGTATATTCAAGAAAAGTATTTCCGGTAATTAATGATTTTATGCAAAATTAGGTTTCCTAATTGGTTTGGAAAAGTCTCTTCTGTCGAGAATACAGTTTTCTCGAACTTATGTGAGCTTATACGTATGCCTTCTACACCTTAAATACCAACAATTTTTCAATCACTCCAACCCATGTTTCATTTTTGCATAAGCACATGAGTCGTTAATAATGTACCTACGTAATAAACCAAGTTATAAGCACAACACATGTATGGTAACATACAATGAAGCTACCTCATTTAGGGTCATTAAAAATTTAAGGTGCGAGTAACTTGGCACTCTTTTGCGGCGACTCGAAGCGGCGCTTGACAGTGAACGCTGAAAGTGGATGGACGTAAGTACACTAGGTACTTATTTAATTAACGCGAACGTCAACACTACTCAATGGCAGTATCAAGCAGCGAGTGCTTAATACTTTCAATGTGTGTTTGTGTACACACGCAAAATTTATGCGAATTGAATTAAAATTAAAACCATATGCACATGCATGTATATATTAATACAAGTAAAAAATATCATATTTATTATTTAAAGGCTTTTTTCGATACTAGTCTAATATGTTGCATAGTCTAGATTGCACTGATACAGCTGCGGCAACCGATTCGTTTATGCGTAGATGCAGCGTCACGGCGCCTTGGAATGTACGCATACACACAGTCTGGCGCCTCCGATAGGTGCTGTCGTGTGTGCTTCGATCGCGCAATCACACTGGCGCTCAACGCTCAGCGGTCGATGTGAGATGACAGCGTGATAAATTGCCAATCGCGAAATTGGCACGAAATTTAAATATTGTGTTGTTCGCTGTAGAGCATTAAGTGTTCCATATTGTTGCTTTCGGTAACTGTTTTATTTACAAACGCCAATAAGTTCTTATGCACCCAACCACGCTTCACAATACGCACATTGGCAAATGTTTTGAAATGAATTGCCTGCCAAATGAAATTTATTTATTGAATTTATCGCTTGGTTGTTAATGCAGAATTAAGATTGAAGACTAATGCGCAAACAAAAAAAAAAATATACTTAAAAAGTTTGACACTTTTGTTCTCTACAAATTCAATGTTTGATTTATGAAAAAAATTTAAAAATCGTAATTTTTTAAAATTTTGTGCCTGTGTGTGTGAGCTACATGTACATATATAAATTCCGTATGGTCCGTAATCTTACAGCGATAATAATAATACACAAGGAAGAAAGGCTAAGTACGGGTGCAACCGAACAATTTATACTCTCGCAATTTTTAAAGATCAAGTCCAGGACATATGTCTTTTTAGGAATTGGAAAATTTTTTTATTGAAAGCAAAACTTGCCAAAGAATTCAATATTGCTATTCAACGAAATCATGAATGGATTACAATCATATTTGGTATGTAACTAACGTATAATATACATAGATCGTCACTTAGTTTAATTACTACATTTTGATACATGTTCATGTATTTTTATTAAAATCAGTCTCAAATGTGATATGTGCTATAAACCAAAGGGCCTAAACTTTTTATTTTAGGTATATGAGGAAAAAGTCAAGTAGGAGATCGGATTTTAGGAGTATGAGGCTAGACCAAGATCTAGCTCAAATTTTCATTCATATTGACCAATTCCAATAAAATATCACATACAAGTATATTGACAAACGGTTTAAAGTCCGGTGGAAGAAATCAATTATCTTTTATATATAACTACGCTAACAAAAAAGTTTGTGTTCCCTCTTTGACTGTGTTGCCGTTGACATATATGTATATATGTATATATATGTATAAAATATATTTATATGAATAAAATTTATACCGTTGGAAAAACGAAGACGTGTAGAAGTGCACAACGCAGTGGCGCGTTTTCATTGGTCGATGTTTTTTCTCCTTTGCACGTCACACTTAACACAGTCGTATACAGAAGTACATTTCGTCGCAGTTCGTGGTTGCGATTTGTTTTCACTTTTAATTGTGTTTCGACTTTGCGTGTTGCAACACTGAATTCTGTTACAATTACATTTATAACGCAGATTAAATTTCAATTAATGCTTTAAAAAAAACACTATGAAGTGGAAATAACCTTTGATATAACTCGTTTTATTTTGGTGAGTTAGAAATGCTAAGATTTATCTCAAGTGCGATGTGTGATAGTTTATTTTTATTGAAATTTTTTTCCAAGGTCAATTTTATGTAGTTGGTTGATGGTGTAGTTAAGAATGTATCAGTTTAAGATTCTGCTTTGGATCCATTCTCATATCTTTTACTATTCCCAAATAGAGATTTTGGTTGGCACGTTTATATATCGCATAACGTGCAACATAATTCTAATGGTAGACAGATTCGAAATAAAGTTACCATGTTATAATTTGCATATTTCAGATTTGCAATAAGGGATGAGTTAGCGTTTTACATAAATCCCAAAAACTATTTTTATCTATCTATCTATTGAATACATTTTTTAAGGCAGAATTAAGTACAATGACTTGCAATCCGAATTAGCCAAAAATTTTAAATAATATAGATCTTACTGAATCATCTAAATTTAGGCCTTAAATAGTTGTGCGTATATTTAAATCGAATTTAAAAGAACCCATATCTGACATTTGTAATAAAGATGTTTTTGGCAAAGTTGAGGCTCTTACATATAGAATTGAATTTCAAAAAAGAGGCTTGCCTCTTACTCACATTTTGATAACTTTTTGTGAAAATGACAAAGTTGTCGGACCAGCTGATATTGATAAAATTGTGGACTTATCAATAATGATGTATTGAATCGCATCGCTGGCGAAAAAAAGGTTTATTACTGTTTTGTATTTGCGAGGATAACAGAGAGGTGGGCAACTATACAGTCGAATTTTTGAATACTTGTTCTGTAAGATTGTAAGTGGTTTGTCACCACATAAGTTGGACCTCAAAACTAATGCGATAGTTTCGTTAATTCGAAATTTAAATACGAAGCAAGCATATATAATATATTATAAATATTATATTATAGCAACACAATAGATTGTGAAGTGCTCACTAAAGTTGCTCGCGAAAAACTTATTTTAATTCCACGCATACACTTGATTTCTAAATGGCATTCTTCGCATCCTTTCGCGGTTGCATACGTGGCCACATATGACGACAAATTCAAATTGGCCGATTTGAATGGATTACTTATTCAGGGAAAGATTAAGCCAAAACCAGAAACAGAACAAATGATTTTGCACAAGAATGAATTATAAAGTTTAATTTATTTTTTAAATTGTTTTCTACAACTTTCTTTAGATTTTGTTCATATTCTGCTCAATAAATAATAATAAATTGTATTTTCTATTGGCCAAATTTCGATTCTGACCCTAGTCATTATAATTCGTATATCTGAACTGGGGGATTTGTACGGCTTAAAGACAACCGGAAAGTGGCTGCATGGAAACTTGGGAAAGTATGTATTATCCCGATTTTATCTATTTTTAAAATAGGTATATGGGGGACATAAGGGCATGCTTAATGTTTCACAGATTGACCGATATTTTTGGTTAAAAGTGAGCCATACGCAATGGGGTATGCTCGTATCTGAGGGCTTTAAAAGTTATGATTTCACAATTTTTTTGCTTGGCATACCATACTAATTTTGCAAAGTTTTATCTCGATGTATTCATTTTATTCATATGGGAAATAGTCGTGGATGTAGTCCATTATCATACCGTTATATAAGTATGTTCGGATCATGTTATGTACCGAATCCGATTGCAATTTGCTCGATCCGTTCTTAAGATATGGGATTGTACCTAAAGATGTCAATTTTGACACCGACTCTTATACAGCCTTACGTATGACGAGAATACAATGGGTGTCTTTTTTGTGATTTTCAATGAGGCAATCCTTCTTTAAAAGTTGGTCTTTTTGATAGCTGTTACTTGATTTATTATCAGTTGGGCTTGCAATTTGATAACGTTTGCAATTCGTGCATTTGTATCACCAAAATAATAATTCGGTTCACGTCGTAAAAATTATTATTCCACACACATATTTTATACATACCTATATACTTGTACAGATTTATGTATGCATGGGAATATGTAAGCTCGTTGGTTTATTGATTTTGAATATAAAGAATTTTTTTTAATGTTTTTGTTAATTTCGTTGATGTAAAACTTAAAAATTTTTTCTAAAATGTATGAGACTCTAAATTTAAAAAATTAAAGTGTAAGTAATGCACAAATGGGTTGTAATTATAATCTATAGCTGGATGCAGATATAATTTAATTATTTATTTGAAATTAAATAATGGTATGCAAAGATGTGAAGCTATGTTCAAATTGATTATACCGAAATATTTGACAGCAATACTTATATCGAAAAATATCCTGAGGAAGGATTTCAGATGGGTTTGTCCATTTGAAGTTGAAAGCTTTTGTTCTTCGGGGACTATTTCGGAACGTTTGTTGATGTACACGGGGATGTGCAACATGCAGAATGTAAGAAACTATGCGCCCAGGGAATGCACTCGCCAGCGTTCAAAGTCTTGCGTCAACGAAAGTAGAGGCATGATTCTTCAATACTCTCTCAATCTCCCTCTAATTCAGTATTCTCTCAGTAGGTAATTGTCTTGGCAAACGCTCCTCCTTCATTCATCACTTGGACCGACCAACGGCAGCAAGAGTAATCTCCAACTATTTCAATTGCTAATGAGTCGAGCCATTGAAAGTCGTAAGGTGTGCAATGATGCGTTTTTCATACACGCTAATGCACAGATACCCACAGACACGCATTAATTGGTTGTGAGCTATAATTTCTTTGGCGATTGGGTGGCGACGCGTCTCTGCCACATTCGAGTCATTGTGTTTATGTGGCTGGCGCACCGTTGTTGCGGGTCACGCCATCAAGGTGTTGCACCGTTAATGAAGTTCAAATGTAAACAAATTAATACTTCTTGTTTTCTGTTTTTTTACTCATTCATACAAATACACGAACTGCAAGTATATTCCCTTGTTGTTGTGGAGGTCAAAATAATTTGTTTCGTTGCATTCTTTCCCAATTCGCTTTGGTCTGTTTGTTCAAATAAATAGCAATTGCATTTGTAATAGTAAGTTTTCGAAAATGTAAATAATTAGCTACTATATTTAAACGAGTTTCCAGTGACTGAAACTTTTCAATTAACAAGTTTGTGCATACAAATAATTATGTTTTTATGTATACTTACGAATTGTTTTCCTTTGGTTTTTTAACTTTCAGGCTTTTACCCCGCATTGCGACGGGAAGTTGTTGCATACGGTTCATTGCACTTGTTCGTTTTGACATTCATTGGTTTGGAGAGCGAAGCAGTTTACTTCAATAATACATATACATACATACATATGTAAATATCACAGGAGGTTTCTGGCAGCAAATTCAACAGATTGATAAAATTAATTATTAAAATATTTTATCAATTCCTCTTTATTTAATTAGTTCGTCCTTTGGTGAATTTTTTGCAGAGTTCTTTAATTCAGTTGTCTGAATTCTTTTAAGTCTGAAACTGCCTTCGATGGGCTAAGGCATTTTGAACCGAAAATTTTTCACGCAAGAAATACGTTCAGAAATTCGGTATCATCTGCAGAGTGACAAATTGATTTTAAATACTTTTCCGCAGTACTGTAGAAAGGATAATATGTTAATTTTAGCTCTCAGTTCTTTAGAGTGCCGTTGAACTATTGAATTCTAGTTTTAATACTTCGTCTAATATTTGAACTGCGAAGTTCCAATATATCTACCATATGTTGAGCAAGTTCTAGGTAAGGCCGGACAGCAGCAGAGGAGTTGGTCCAGCGTCTCACTCATGCCAACTTGCAGCATGGGTCATCGTTAGTAATGAGCATCCGGTTCGCATGTGATGCACGTAAATGTTATCTGTCACTAGGCGAACAACCCACCTGTAGTAAGTATGCGTGCTTTCTCTGTGCCCATGCACAATATCTTATCAATCCTTTCGCAGATTTCATTGTGTATCGCATTTAACGACTTGGGTATGTGTTGTACTGCTTCGGTAGTCGGCTATGTTCTTATGACCTGAAACACAGTATATATAGTCGCTTTTCTGCAGCCACAGCATCTACTGCCTTCCTGCTTCTAAGGACATTCTCCGACGTAATACGATGAGAAATTATTGAATTAATTGCTGCTTGGCTATCGACGTCAATATTGATGTGCCTGGAAAACCCTTCAGTATGTCAGAAGGCTATAATAATACTTTCTTAAAAAACTGCTTTAATATGTTAAAATTTTCGTGACGAAAAGAAAAGTTGGATTGGTATATCTATATATACCCGCACATGTATTGTAAAGGACGAATAGATTGTTCTATAATTTGGGATATAAACGCGTTACTTTCCACAATTATGAAAAAAAATGTTTCCTTAAATACGTAGAGATATTTAAAATGCACAAATATAAGCTGCCAACTAAACAAAAGAAACAAAGGGAGATGCTGATAGAAGCCAAGCACAACCATATGCTGCGAACATTAATCGAGAAATCGATATCATATATCGCCATAAAACATTTTTATGACTTATATTCATATTCGCGCTTTAAAACAAAATTATATGTATTTATACAATATAACTACAACATAATGCAACATGTAGAAATTCTAAGGCGCTTGTTCAGAAAAAGAAATCAGAGCAAGCGGCTGGGAGAAACAAATAATAGTTTCGGCGCGCTATAAAACCGCAACTTGCTCCATTTCCCGTACCTGGAAAAGTATAAGAACCTGTACATACACACACACTTTCTGAATTCGGGCGTGTCTGTGAAGTTGTTGCCGTTGAACGTTTTCTTTTGTATTCGCATGTCTGCAGTCAATATTTCTTGCCAATTTGCTTATTGCGCCTGCTACTGCCCGTGGGCAGCATGGTATTGCATGTATGCGTGCGTCGTATTTAATATTGGATGCAGTATTTTTAAACAGCTATGTATGATTATTATTTTACTCCTGCAATATATTGCTATCGAATTATACTCTTTTTTGTTCACCTAACAGTGGTTTGTATTACTTAAACCTAATCGAGATACATTGATATAGGGTTATGTTTATATATATACATGATCAGAATGACGAGACGAGTAGAAATCCGGATAAGTGTCTGACTTTTCGTCCGTCTGCCGTGCAAGTTGTGATTGATGCGATTCGTTGTACCAATCTAGAGCTTTGTATCTAAGTTTGTGGCTTAGTTATGGCAAGTGGGCATGGCCACTCCTTCTAAAAAGTTTAATGTACATATCTCTCAACTCATTCAAACTATATCACCCAAATTTGTGCTGGACAAACACTTTTGACAGTGCGAAAATGGATGAAATCAGATGACCTCCGTGCCTATTGCTATCTATGAACCGAAAATACCGCTAAAAGTCTGAAATATAAATATAATTGAAATCCGCGAGTATTCTTTCCTGATAATAGCGTGTCTATATGTAAAAAATGGGTTGGATCGGGTCTGTACTTCCCTCAGCGCCCATATAATGAATATAATAATTTGCGAACAACCGGCTGATTTTATGGTATATCGCATATATTATATCAGCCAATTTGTAAGTTAGCTTAATAAAATTAAGAGAGCATGTATATATAATAACGGTGCATCTTTGCTCTAAACCTGAATAAAATCGTATATGTATATTGGGCTTGGTATGTGAGCTACGTTAATAAAACTCAAAGAACATCTATTACTGTTAACAATATATGGTATTGCCAAAAATCTATAATATCTGGTCAATATCTCTCATATACCTAATATAAGGTTTTCAAATTTTGCAGGTAAGTTTATTCCGTATATACTCGTATACCCTGTATAAGGATTTCTGTCTTTCCACCTGACTTCAAACCATTTAAGTAAACTTAATGAAATTAAGTGGAATTTCCTTAAAAATTATGGAATATGTAAGGAGTGGATGCATACCTTGTTCAACAACTGAACCCGTTTGACCTTCCCAAACGACATCGCTTCGCTCTATGGGCTCTTGAAAATTTTTAAGAAGATCCGACGTTGAACGCGATCGGACTACAACCATGCTTACTTTTCATATAACAAAATTATAAATTCCATCTGATTTTTTCATTCTCCAGTACGCAAATAAAGCACCAATTACTATATCGGGATTAAACTTTGCCAGTACTTATAGTTGATTTTTTACCGAAAATATCAGTCAATGTGTGAGATATATAATTGAAATTCAGAAAAGATCATTTCCTTATACTAGTATGTCTGTATGTAAAAAATGCGTTGAATCGGGTCAAAACTTCCATTAGCCCCCATATACCTAATATAAAGATTTTCGAACTTCCGGGTGACTATATGCCTCTTATATCAGCCAATATGTGAGTTATCTTAATTAAATTGAGAGAGTGAGGATAATATTGAGCAAAAACTTGACCTAGCCCCTATATAACTAATATCGAAATATTCGAACATCCGGCTGACTTTACTGCATTTGGATTGGTGATGGCATGTAAGGTACATTAAACCTTGGGAGCATTTTATTAGTCTTTGGCATATTAGTTTTATGTGGTATTGGCAAATATTGATAAAATCGTGTCAAATACTATTACGACCAACTCCCATGTACTACTTATAATGTTTTTCGTTATTCTAATAAGTTTTATGCTGGTCAGTGGGTATTATTTATATATAAAATTGGTTCAAAATAATGCAAACAGCCCATTCATTTCTCTATTCACAATATACCCCATAAAATGATTTCCGTCTATCCACCTGTATTTAAACCGTTCAGGTTGGTCAAAATGTGTGACATTTTAATGAAATTAAATGGATAAATTTTCTTATAACTTATATGGCTTAGCGCTGAATTAGATTGAAATTGTTTATACCTTATACCTAATATAATTAATTCCGATCCTCTGGGTGACGTTTTCCACAGCGACTGAATGTATTAAATTTACTCTCTTCCGTCGAGTTAATATTATATGTATCTCATTTGAAGGTGTTTTTTATATAATTTTCGCTTTAGCGCGAACTAAAATATAGCAACAAAAGTAAGTCAAAGTTAATGATCTTCTATACAAGTTAAAAAGATAACAAATTTTATTGTAATTTATTTAAGGTTTCATCGATAAATGGATGTTTAATTCTTTCGCAAAATTTTTTAATATCAAGTTTTGCCAGTACCTGAAGGCATTTGTCTCTTGCAAGTTGCAAGAGTATAAAATGTTCGGTTACACCCTTCCTTACTTGTTTCAAATTCACTATCTGCAATCATCGCCTATTCTCTCGAAATCACCTTCCTCGAATTAACACGCAAATGAAATGAGTTTTCGTATATACATACGAGCGTGTTTCACATACGCAAAATGATGCCTACATCCACGTGGTGGCATATACTCTAAGAAGAGTAGAATAGTCGTCAACTGATAGCGGCATAGGACTGCGTGTTGTTGGCGCTGATTACTGCCTTCGAAAAACCCAATTCCCGCAGCGGCGCCACTTGAATGCCGCCAATAAAACCGGTGAGTTGAGCGCATGCAATTGATTTAATGATTTGATTTGTGTATTTCAACATTTGTGATGGTGGTGATGACGGCAACAGCAGCAGCACGCATTTCAACACGCTGCTTTGAAAACGCGCAAGGAGGTAGAAACAGACTAATTTCGGGACAACGTATGCAAATCGCGTAAATTTATTACCAAAGTAGTGGTTTGGTTCGCGCGACGCACCACGCGCTACGTCCAATATTAGGTCGACATAATCGCACAGCAGAGTCGATAATTTGAGCAGCCATCGATCGGTTTCACACCAAGTTTTCTCCAGTGGAAAATGCGCATCCTCAAAGACGCGGTACAGTGCGCCTCGAAGACGCTATTTGTTATACTTGTAGAACAGAGTATCGCTATGCCCATTCACATGCGGGCTTACAAAATTCAACACGTGCAAGAAGAAATTAAAGCAGGACGACCATCAAGCGCGTTGCACGTTCAGTGAATGGACGTAAAACGATCCCGATTGTCACAACAAAAATTTGTCGGGTGATGAGACTTATTTGTGGTGGAATGGGTACGTTAATAAACAAATATCTCGCATTTGATGTGATAATAATCTACAAGCCATTCGTGAGACGCCGTTACATCCTCAAAAAGTCAGTTTAGTGACTGGTGACATTTGTCCGTAGGAGAATATTAGGTGCGCTGTGGCAAACCCCTATCTTTATAATAAAGCCAAATTCTTGGCCATAACAATAAATTAAATACTTTTTTATTTATTTTTGAAAACCATATGTTTAAAAAATACCCTTTATTTAAACGTAATTTGGCTAAGTTCCCTTTAGATGTCGCCTCGCTTTCTACACTGGCAAATAATTTGGGTGCGTCCACATTATGTGTTGCTTCTTGTAGGCTGACTCTGTTTGGTGAGTCACCTTTTTTTTAATTTGCGGTGTGTTCTATATAATAAATGTTTTGCTATTATTGGTGATTTTAAAGTGTATTCGGTGTCTCTGGTTTGTTTAGGCTGGCTGAAATATGAGCGTTGCAATTAGCGCGCGTGGGCGGTTAAGTGGTTTCTCGAATAAGTGAATCTTGCCGATGGCATTGGAATTAGTGAGTATTAAGTTTTTGAATCGTTAAGCCATTGTCTGCTTTTTTTGCATTATAAAATTGCTGGAAATACTGTTGAAAGGATGGTTTTATTGTATAATATTATGAAGTCAAATTTATAGGGAATGTCTTTCTATGCATGATAGTTGTTTTAATGATAAAAACCCAGTTTTACATTGATAATATTTCATTTGTTATTATACTTAACTTACAGTTAGCAGTCAACTGGGTCTAATTAAATTTTTTAATAAATATTTATAATGCGTTGACGACATCATCAAAGTGAGCTTACATGAAAGATGTAAAAAAATATGGATGATTTAATAAAAAAATGTGTATTTAAAATAACTTAAGTATATAAACATGTATTTAAGAGGCGAAAAATAAAAAAAAACTTTCTTACAAGTGTATCACATAAATAGAGATTAAATAGAAAACAGTTATACCACTCTAATGAATACTCTTGAACTGAATACAACCTTATACTCTTGTTGTTGCTCTCGTCCTGAAATTTTACACACGGTAAAAAGTGCAATTAGAAGATAACGTTGTAAGTTATCTACATACCACTAGTAGTCTGAGGATTAAATTGCTATTAATTAGTTTGCAAATTTTAGCTTTTTTGACATAGTGAACAAAGGATGGGTATGTATTCATTAAACAATATGTTTGGTTCTATTTTAAAATAATAAGATTTTGAAAGGTACTAAATGAATAAAGCTAATACTAAATTTCAACTAAAAAAATATAAAAAAGTTGTTGTTACAATATTCTTTCGCAAAACCTAGACAGTATCAATATTGTCATTTGCGGCAGTAATTTTAATGGCATAATACAACAATATTACTACTTTGATTTAAATCAATTACAGCAAGAAGTTACTATATGCTTTTATAGGTACACTCGAAACATGTTGCTACAGGGTACTCTAGTTTTATTCACCTAAAGGTAGTGTTGTATCACAAGATCGATAAACAGTTATACAAGTGTATATAAATGATCAGGAACACAAGACCAGTTCAATTTCGATTGACTATCTGTCCGACCGTCTGCCCATGCAAGCGATAACTTGATTAAAAATTGATATATTGAGATAAAACTTGGTACAATACTTTGCACCTAAGGGAGGTTTGTCTTGTATACGGGCGGTATAAGACCACTGCCACGTCCACAAAACGTCATTGGTCGAAAACTTATTAAAAGCCATAACCACTCAATTAAGATATAAACCTGTAATTTTATACATAAAATGGCATTGGGGAGAGGCATTTATGGTTGAAAAAACTTCTAAAGTAGGATTAGCCTTGCCTCCTACTAAGTGCCCCACCATTAGAGCTATTTGACTCACATATGCACAGAATATACTTGTATATATTTTTGACCCTTCCTTCGACAGTGTTCAACCAAATTTGGCACGTAGACTAAGTTCGGGTGTAACCGAAGATTTCACACTCTTGCAACTTGCGAGGATCAAAGCTGGGAGAAATACCTTATGTACAACGATATTAAACACAATTCTTCCAATTTTATTAAGATAACTCACATATTGACCGATATATGCAGTATAAAGTCATCTAGAAGTCCGAAAATCTTTCTAATGGGTATAGTTATAGATTTATAGCAATTTTAGTAGTTCTTAACAAAACCGTTACATGAGAAGAGGGCGGGGTTATCATCTGATGTCACTTATTTTCACACTGCCGTAAAAAAGTGGCATAGCTTTATTGGTTTGGTGCACTAAACTTATTAGAGGGTGGGGCCACGCCCATCTACGAATTCGCTCATACTTTTGTGCAAAGGAGAACGTGTTCCAAGTTTCATCAAGATATCTTAATTTTGGCTCAAGCAACAGCTTGCCAAGTATAGTGATATACTAGATTTTCGTATATATTATACTTTTTTCCTAATTAAAAGTAGGAAGTATTGCATGCATTATTTTCAGTCACAGGCAAGAAAATGAACTATTGTTAGACCATAGTTAGTCATATTGACCGATAGATGCAGTATAAAGTCAACCGGAAGTTCGAAAATATTTATATTAGCTATTTGGGCTTAGGGAATTACTAACCCGATTTTACCAGTATTTGACACAAAGATATATTATTATCGAAAAAACTTTTTCCCCGAATTTAAATTATATACACGTATCTCACAGATTCGCCGATATTTTCGGCAAAAGTCAGCCACAGGCACTGGTGTCCACATATTTGGTGTTTGGGTTCTTGAAAATTTGTATTCCGATTTCAATAATTTTTGTCGTTAATGAAGTTACAGTTGCACAGACAGACGAGCGGACGGACAGATAGACATCCGGATTTAAACTCGTCTCGTCATCCTAATCTATTATATATACATAAACCTGTATCTTACTCTATTATTTCTAGGTGATACAAACAACAGTTAGGTGAACAAAACTATTATACTATGTAGCAACATGTTGCAGGAGTATAAAAATGTTGCGAAAGAATTTAGTATTCATTATTCACTATACATATCAGTATTGGCTATATTGGGGGAAGAAAACGTTTTGGGCTGATTTATAAGTATTTACACACAGGTCAACATATGCTACTCAGTTTAATGAAAATATTAATATATGGGAGTTGGGGTAATTCGTAGATCAATTTCACATAATGTCGTTTTTTTCCATTTTAGACACAAAGATACACTGTAATAAGAAAAAATAATTTATATTATGTTATATGGGAAGTAGGTAGGGTGATTAGGTTTCGCCCATTTTCAGACGGTAATACTTGTATTGGAATATCAGGAAAATATGTACCAAATTTTGAAGTTGGTTAAGAAGGTCCTGAGATATGTAGTTTCAACTAAATGTGCAAAATTGAATGTCTCTGAGGCATCTTTTTATTGATTTATCGAACTTTTAATAGTTTTGAACTATACCGTTATATGAGGAGAAGGCGTGGTCAATATCTGATTTCAACCATTTTCACACTGTCAGAGAAGATTACAAAATTATTTGTTCTGAGCAAATTTGTTTGATTTGGCTTTAGTTGGTTGGCTGTTCTGGGAGACATGGACGTTAAACCACTTTTTCTAATTTCTAGAAACCGCAGATGCGGTAAATAATAGAAAATATAAATACTTTAGAATATGGTGAATAAGGATCAACATTAGGTTATTAAAAATATTTTTTGCCCTGCGTATATGAAGCGTACCCTTAAAACAAAATGGGCTATACAAAGATCATTATCTTGGTTTTGAACAGTCTGTAAGTTTGCATGGCATATATATGCTATAGTGGCCCGATTTGAAGAATTTGTAGCGTTATCTTAGACAATAATCTATGGAAATTTCGCTAAGGTAATTGTCAAATAAAAAGGTTTTTCATGCAAGAACTTGATTTTGATGGTTCAGCTTGTATGACAGCTATATGTTATAGTGGTCCAATATCGGCGGTTCCCGATGGTTCCTTAATGAGTAGCTTCTTGGACAGACAGACATGGTTAAATTGACTCAGTTCGTTGCTCTGATCATTTATATAGTACTAATGTGTATGTAGGTGCTTTTTCTGTAGGGGGTTCTGGGTGTTTAAAACTTCATAACAATTTAAATATAGCCTGCTCAGAGTATAAAGCGTTTTATTGGATTGGAAAAACCAGCTAAATTATTTTGGTGGATCTAGAAAGGTCTTTAGAAATTATTGGGAACACGTTTTGAAACGAAACGTGTATCATACGGAAGCATAAAGAACGTAAATAAGTTCAGCAATCATTTTGTAGACGCTAACGAAAAAAAAGTTTTTCTCACCAAATAGTTCGATTTTCACAAAATGATAGAAATTGTAAGTATGTAAATTAGTTCTTTTAACCAAGAAAAAACTTGCTTAAGCATCAGAAGAATTGGCGCTGCATTTTTTATTTTTTCATATACACTCTTAGTCCACTTGGTCTTGGCGAAGTAGTTCAGACTAAACTTTTTATCTATAGCATACAATTTTATACAGTTCCTTATAAGTATTATTTACATATATTAGATAAAGCTAAGCCGTTACCTTGAAAAACCCTGTATTTTATATTGTGCTATAAGATTTTAAGGCACAAATTCAAGCCAATATCTTCCTTAAATGTGATAAGAATGGCTGGCCACTTATTATGTTTTTAAACGTAGCTACCAATCAGACTCTTAATATCAGATTTCCGCAACAACAAAAATTTATATGATTATGTTTATGTTTAGATTGAATACAAACAGCAAACATAGTCGCTTAAAGCCAAAGGATAACGCAGATATTGGAATAAAGAATAATGAGAAAATGAATGAAGACTATTGCTTCGTGACTGCTATAATGTTAGTGCATATTCTTTGGTGTCACATTACCTCCTACTAACCACAATTTAACGCCTCAAAACCGCCAACTCCAGCTACGAAAAAGAAAGTAAAAAGTAGAAAAGAAAACTGTATTGAAATGGGAAAAAATTATTTGCAACTACAAAAGCGTGCAAAGCAAAATGAGAAAAGATAGAAAATCAGAATAATACTCGTAACATCGTTGAGAACTCTCGGAAATACGTACAATAATTCTATCTTGTTTACGTTTTCTTTTCTCTGTGGTCAAAGCTCTGCGCGCCGCAGAAAACATATGACCGACCAAAACCCTTTCCCAGCTCTCAATATGCAACGCGTTGCCG